CATTGCAATTTGGCGAAGTTTCATTACATATATATTTATATGAAAAACTCTATGTATCATATGCTATCTGAATATCTACATGTATCATAATTATGCTTGTGTTATGAGTGGGCTCACCACAATAGTCGAGCGGCGGTGGGATTCGAACCCGCGTTCCTCGGATCTCGAGTCGGCCACTCCGACCCCTTCACCGTTCGGCTATCGTGGCTTCAAAATCATCTTCCATCAAATCATATGCCTGGAGATATTTCGAAGTATTCAAAACCAAGATGATACAAAATTCGCGATACTAAATTGGCATTGTAGGAATCTGTATCAATCTTCAGAGATCTTCTGATGTCTTCTGGCGTCCACTATTATCGTGTTTATCCTGTTGCTGTGTGGTGGACTTCATAAGTCACTAAAGATCGATATTTACACAAACATAAAAATACAGAATCATAATTAATTAGTACTTATTGCTTTTTGGACAGGTTAATTCAAGCCCACAATGTCCTAACTAAACTAGGAACACTCAGCTCATAGCAGGACTGTCGATCAGGAAGTCCGGAAGATCGAATCGAAAGAGTTCAACTCTGTATTCACTTGACGAAGAAAGGATGGCATCGGTAACATACAGAATTGGTATTTCTTCCTTTGAACTTGAGTTGAAACCGATATTGGCACGTGAAAGGCCAGCATTTTTTAAATACACATTTTTTTGTACAATCTGTACAGCGATTATTCAAAATGAAACATAATCGCACAGAAGATGACTATAGGTACACTGTCCCGTTAATGGCTACCGTAACGGTGTTCCGATTTTGGGCGACACTGCGACCGCTGTATCTATGATCTGATTCTGCTCATCCATAATCCAATATTTTGTACTAGCCAAATATTTATCTCGTTTTCTTCTTTTTAGTGTGTGGTTAAAAGTAACAAATTGATAAAAGAGTTAACTACTTGTTCGATTTGATTAAATTGTTTAGGCTTCGATAGTCAAATTATTGAATTATCCACTTGACTGGTATTTATTAATTTGTGATTGGAAGTAAAATATGACAGGACGAGTAAATTATAAAAGGGTTTAACCAAACTTTGGTTATGTGGAGTTCACACATGCGTAGAGATGCGCACGCGTCGGCGGCGGCCCATCACCTGTCAGGTGTAATGGGTTCGAATCTTTCGGGTTCGGTAGCATAGCATGTGTCACGACACAATGTAAATTCAATATCATCATCATCATCATTTCAGCCACAGGACGTCCACTGCTGAACATAGGCCTCCCCCAATGCTTTCCATGTTGATCGATTGGTAGCGGCCTGCGTCCAGCGCTTCCCTGCTACCTTTACGATGTCGTCGGGTCGTCGTCTCGTAAATTCAATATAGTTTCGTAAATTGAAGACGTAGGACAATTAATTGAAATAAAATTTGTGCTATTACCACTGCTAACATAGTTTAAATATTTATAAGATTAAATTGTTAATCAATAAGTATTGATCAATTTAAAACTAGCAATATTCAATAAACTCTGTGATGTTTAACTGGCTTGAAAATCGAGAAAGAAAGAAAAAATATTAGTCATATCAGTCAAGTTTTATTAGGATATCTTTATATTGCTGCATAATTTGATGTTTTAAAGAATAATAAAAAATACTAAGGGTGGGTTGCACCAACTTACTTTAACAAACGTCAAAAATCTGTCAAACTCCATACAAAAAACATCGGTTATCGTGATAGTTACCGTCAAAGTTAGGTGGTGCAACTCAGCCTAATGTGGGTATCTGTCATGTTTAACTGGCTTGAAAATTGCTCATATCAGTCAAGTTATGATGTCAAGAAAAATAATTTTTCACGCGCGTATTTCAAATTGACGCGTGATATCTTATAATCATGATTACATTGGACGCCTGGTTTACATTGGACGATTTGTCACACCAGCTCGCTCGGGTTAGTAGGTGAAGCACAACTTGCAGAAATTGTTGTCACCATAGTGTTCACACCTCGTGCACTAGTATTAATAGTAGGGCTTTCAAAACGTAGCTCTAGAGTTAAATTTTCAGACGATAAAGTTGATTATAAACTGATTAGTAATATACATAAATGGAAAGGGATGATCAAGCTGTGACAATGCTGTTAACATTGTTGTTAAGGTGAACGATTTAGGCTGAGTTGCACCTCCTAAGTTTAACCGTAGCTATAACGATAACCAGTGCTTTTTGTATGGAGTTTGACAGACTTTCATGACGTTTGTTAAAGTTAAAGTAAGATGGTACAACCCAGCTTTTGGTAAGATGGTGGTAGCTGGTCAGGCGGACTAAACTGTACCTGGCAATCAAACCGAACAGAAAAATCTGCCCCCATTGGGGATCAAACCCGGGATCTCTGGGTGTGAAGCAGATGGTTTATCTAAAATTTAGATTTAGAAAGTATTTAGATTCTAAATACTAATAGGTAAGTATCTATTTACATATCAGAAAAAATGTTATCTTCCCATTTGTTTTTTATGCCTTTAAGTTTGTAAGTAATTCTACTATGTAGTAAATAAAAGTATCAAGGCAAAGTTTAATGTGCTGGGAAAACAAAAGAATAACGAACATTTTTCCGAAGGTTACAGCCCATAATCATAATAGTTAGCCCTGCGGAGATTCATTCATCATTGCAATAATAACAGTACTATTACTGTTTAGTGATTACCGGGCGGTTTGAGATGCGAGCGAAGAGCGGATTGTTTCATTTTTCTTCTATTGGCTTACGTTTTTTTTTTAAATCACTTGATTTTGATCCTGACTGAAAACACAATTCGTTTTTCCTTATGGGAAGTTTTTGACAAGCTGTGGACGTCTTTTGGTTGAAACGAAAGAACGTATGTACTCGTAACAATTTCTGCTATACGGAATGTATGTTGGAATGTTATTTTAACACCTCAAAAATATATCTGTGTTAAATTGTTTGGCCTCCTCAACGCATTTGGGCAGCTTGGGTAGTGAAGGCCAAATCCTCCATCTGTTAAATTAGAGAGATGATGATGATGATGAACATGTTTAGAACAAGATCAGGAGAACTTTTACAAATTAATCAATATATTTACGTTGCCACCTTCGGCCTGATCATCACTTTCCATCAGGTATGATTCAGATAAAAAAGTGCCACATTTAGGCCGGGTTACTCCATCTTACTTTTACTTCAAAACGTCAAAAATTTGTCAAACTCCATACAAAAAGCAAAGGTTACCGTTATAGTTACGGTTAAAATTAGGTGGTGCAACTCAGCCTTAATATTGTGCAATCAACTCAAATCCCAACTAATCCCAACTAATATTATAAATGCGAAAGTAACTCTGTCTGTCTGTCTGTCTGTCTGTCTGTCTGTCTGTCTGTCTGTCTGTCTGTCTGTCTGTCTGTCTGTCTGTCTGTCTGTCTGTTACGCTTTCCCGCTTAAACCTCGCAACCGATTTTGATGAAATTTGGCATAGAGATAGTTTGAGTCCCGGGAAAGAACATAGGATAGTTTTTATCCCGGTTTTTGAAACAGGGACGCGCGCGATAAAGTTTTTCTGTGACAGACAAAATTCCACGCGGGCGAAGCCGCGGGCGGAAAGCTAGTACTGTATAAAGCCTGGTTCGTGAGCACGTAGAATCCCGTCCAATGACCTCAAGCTACCCATCCTTATCGCTCGCGCGTAATTATATTGCTGTCGCAACTGTGCGACGCCGCGACGCGCGTCCGCAGTGAGTGTGCGAGCGCGACAACATAATTACGTGCGAGCGACAAGGATGGGCAGCTTGGGGTCATTGGACGTGATTCTACGTGCTCACGGACCAGGCTTTAGCTTGGAATATGGCGTTCTCTCTTTTGCCTTGCACCAAAGCACAATACCTACCACCTGTCCGCGGTCATTAGCAAAGGTTCTTGAACCGCGGTGACACTGAGTCACGGTCGCCAATCTAAACTGTAGTGACGTAGAGTCAAACAATTGAAGCTGGTAAAAATAGCTAACGAACTGTACTTTGTGGTCAAATTTTTGTTAATTAATTTTAAGGGAAATCACTGTATTGATTATTTTACATTGGTAAAATAATCAAGTTATTGAACTTCCAACCTAATTCTATTCAGTACTAGCTTTCTTCCCGCGACTTCCCCCGCGTGAAAAAAGGCTTGTTTTTAGGGTTTTCCCGGGAATTACTCGAATTTTTCCTGCCGTAAAAACCATCATTAACGAACATAAAAAAAAAGTATTGGTAAAAATGGTCCAGGCATTGTTGAGTTATGCGCTTACCAACACATTTTGCGATTAATTTTTATATTATAGAAGATTAATGGCAGTTTACTAAACTTGACAAAAAACCAAAGCTTGCATAACTTAGAGTTGTCGCTCGGAAAGCGAAAGCTATATTTGAGATGTGTACAAGTGCCTTGTACAATGCCTACGTACTGAATAAATATTTTGATTTGATTTGAAAGGTCGTGGGTGTGATCTCCACCTGAGGCAGTCGATACTTCAAAGTTTTTAAATTAAGTTACGGTCGTTCAACATTTAATCCGTAAAGAATTTTAATAACTACTTATAATTGTCACGTACTTATAATAATTATTTGGGCTTAAGTTGCTAGTTTTGGTGTATAGATCTGTCACATATTTTCGATAGAGCTTACGGGACTATTCCCACCTCTCTTTCCCACCGCTGCAACTCCTGTGTAGCCAGGAGCTACAGCTTGACCGCCAATAAAAACCCAACCAGTGAAGGTCAAGTTTTTCGAAGTTAAGGTTCGACTTCCCTCCGTTTCATAGCGGATGACAGGTGATAGAGAGGTGATAAAGCCTGGTCCGTGAGCACGTAGAATCCCGTCCAATGACCCGAGCGATAAGGATGGGTAGCTTGGGGTCATTGGACGGGATTCTACGTGCTCACGGACCAGGCTTTAGAAGAGCCTGTCAGCGATACACATAGGCAAAAGATGTGACTCTATCTTTAAAAGTTCGTTATATCTCATTCTATCCTCTCCTCCACAGAAGCTGTAAAGTCCCTACCCCAAATACGATGGGCTAGCAGCACGCCAAGATGAACGAGAGCCGGGAGCGGATCCGCCGCGAGAGAGAGCGGGAGAAGAACACCTACACGTCGCCCCGTCTCGCTCTGCGGCGCGTGCTTCTTCTAGCAGAAGGCAGACAGTTTAGGGAAGCGGCCGCCATCTTGGCGAGGCTTGGACCTGGAGTGCTGCAGACGGTGGCTACGGAGTTACCAGCCGATTTGCTGGTCGAAGCGTTGCCGCATTCTGCTCATCTTCTCGAGACGCTGTTGAATAGGTGAGTTATTTACAGGGTTTTTAAACTGAGGCTTTAAATTTTAAAAATTGATTTATCTTAGGACTTAAACAAAAGAAGTCGAAATATAGGTTGTTCTTGTGCTACTAAGTGCAGCTCGATTTTAATTGCGTTGTCCTAATTGCTAGCATATGCTAAATACAATTGATGGTTAAAATAAAATATGCACCTTATGAAAAGTAAGTGAAGTTTACGCAAAGAGGAGATAGGTAGGTAAATAGGTGGTAGGTAATTAATTGTATAATGCAAAACACATCCAACGAGTTTATTACTGCGTGTATGTTGCAAGTGTATCTTTTAACGTTGTTTGATATAAATATACGTTAAATGATTACTACTTCGATTGACAGCTCCAAGACCACAACTTAAATCTCTCAGAAACATCGATTCGTTCCAAACATTGTTTACATGCGCTACTTATCAGCGACTCGATACTTCTCGATTCTCTCGATGAGTAATCACAAAGCAATAATTATGCATAACAATCGATCGACGTAAGCGATCATTTCACACCCCAGCTCATTTCCAGGGCTGCATTGAGTGCAACTGTCTTTATGTTTTTATCGATATTGGCGTCACAGTAAAATGATGAAGCAGTTGTACTATTTTGATCTTACCAGTTATTAAAATTACCGCCTAAACTGACTACCATGTTAATCTTTGAAGGATAGGGTGACTATAAAAATCACTAATCAGCAGCAGCTGCAATTAAAACTTGATCAGTAGCTATTGAGGTATAAATGCTGCTACGATTTATAATTTACAATTACAATTTTTTTTACACTTTCTTGCATAAGACGGTAGGCGAAGGCCACGGAATTTCAAAAATGCACATAACTTTTCTGTGTTTTTATATCTCCTAACTACACAAGACTTGCAGTTGCAGGAATAATCCCCTTAGCAAATAACCAATATTCGTTATTGAATTAAGTTTAAAAAGGCATTACAGGAAAACATTCATTTGCATCTGCACTGCACTGCATTTGCACATTCAAAGTGTGCTGGTTACAAAATACTTGCAGCAGCATGAATATACTTAGCAGACGAAGATCACCCAATATTGCCATTTACAATTGCATTACTACATAGCATTTGACTGTGCCTTGTCATCGAGAGGAATGCACACAAGTCCTTGGTCACCAGAGCCGGGCGATGTAGAGCGAGGCGCGCACGAGAGCATGCAGGAAATTATTCATTTGCATCGCATTACTAAAAGTCTGCTGATTATACTACAGTTGCAGAAGCATGAATAGACTTAACAGACGACGATCACCCAGCATTGACAATTTGACATTTTGCCCATTTGCGACGACACTGTGACATCTCGAGATATACGATTTTTTGTTTTACCGAAATTCTGAACCGCGATCTTGCGTTCTTTTATCTCCAAAAACAGGGTATTTGTTACTCCGTTATAGCGCTGGCTCGTTTGGCGATCTAGTTGGCTTCGACACTGTGACAGTTCAGTTGCCACCTGCGCTTTGAGATGTGAGGTGCTCTTCGTTTTTAAGAAAAACGTGACATCTCGAGGATACCGCGGTATTGATGACAAAGGTAAGTTTTTAAAATATTTTTATTTTATTCGACAATGTGGCACGTCATACTTATCACAGTGTTCTTGTAAAACAAAAATCAAAGTAAAAGAGAAATTATTTATATGTCACGTTATTCTTGTAAGAAACACCAAGTATCATCGGGACATCTTAACTAGTAACGTTGTAGATGATGAAAATTTTTCCTATATTGAAAATATGTTGTAGGTCATTTGTTGATGTTCTGTTATTGCAGAATACATGTTATTGAAATTGAATGGTATATCTACTTGTCACGTTGTATACGCTAAACAGTAATACTAAACTCCAGATAAATCATTACAGATGGGGAATAGCAATGCAAAAAAGCAAAGGTTAACATTTGTGGCGATGCACTGCCTGAAGTAATTCCACAACCTAATCCGACAACATGACTAACAGCGCTATGCGAGCGCTGTGAAAGGGTCTCTTTGAGCTACAATAACGTCGGAACTAATACGAGTAGATGTAGACTGATAAACATACATTCGTTTTGAAGAATAGTTCGAATACTAGAAATACAGTGCAAATAAAACATACAACTGTCTGTTTTTACAGACACAGCAAGCAAAATATTTTATTTATTAACAAACGATAGCCTTAGATTAGCTTAATCTAAGACGATAGCTAACAAAATTATCTATTAGTAGAAGTATGCTAGAATAGCAATGCGTTAAACCCCAGATATTTATTTATTTATGTAATTATTCAATGTTACTTAGCTGTATTGGCTATGTTTTGCTTTCTGCAAAAAATGTATTTTAATGTTTTAATATAATTACAGATAATCAGCAATTGATGGAATTTTATCGCTTCTTGCCCAAATATACTTTGGCGGGCGCAACATTGTTTTGTATAATAACATTGCAATAGGTATAACTATTTCAGAAAAACTATGTCAATAAAATGACTACATTATTTATAAATAGTGGTTGTTATTTTTCACTATTAATACATTTTTTAAATATCTTTTATAAATTTCATTTTAAATAAGTATAAAAAATTAAAACATCCTAAAAGGTACCAAAATGTCGTTTTTCTGCCATTTTATGCGCTGGAGACGGCGATTTTTGCGTTGATAATTTTAGGATTAAATTGTCATGACTAGTCAGTTAAAAAACATCTATTTACTAACCTAGTAGGTACCTACAATTTTTTCTTCTGCATACATACATACTTAGTACAGTTTCTCTTACTGTGTTTTTTTTTGTAGTTTACGAGGTTTTACTTTTGAGAGTTTTTCGTTTATTTTGATAAGCATTAGTTTTTAGAATAAGAAAACTTAATGTGAGCTTAAATATTGTATGTATACAACTGTTTGTCTACTTAGATAATATTTTTATAAGTGCAATTTAACATGGCAAAGCGAAATATTCGCCTGTTTCAATAATTACCTTATTTTTACTGATTGTAATGTTATTAAAATAAAATAATAAATTTCAAGATCAACGTTTTATCTAAATAATGACTTATATAAATATATTTTTTTACATCATCTTCAACGTGACAACTGAACATACCATCTTCAAAATATTATTTTTTACTAGAACAACGTGATAAGTTGTCTCTTTTTTTTCAATCGCTATAATTTCATCAATTTAGACGCAAAGTTATGTCTTACTATAAATATTTAAATTCATTAATAGTTAATCTTTAAACGTTTCATACACAATTAGGTAATCCTAACCTTCTTTTAAGAGTTATGGTCATTCAAAAGTTAAAAAGTCGATTTCTGTAAAACCACTGTTTTTGATATATCACAGTGTCGTCGCAAATGGACGATTTACACTTGCATTACTACATAGCTTTTGACTGTGCCTTGTCATCTAAAGCCTTGGTTCCCAAACTTATTTGAGACGCGCCCCCTTTCGACCCTACAAAAATTCCGCCCCCCCCTCCTCCTCCAGTCAAGATTATTTAATGGTCGTATCGAGCAGTCTGGAATGCATTCTCTCAGTGGTCGCAGTTTTTTTGTACTTAAATACACAGATGGCCCGCGCCCCCCTTTAAAAGTCTTCCCCCCACTTTGGGAACCAATGGTCTAGAGGAATGCCTGCACCAAGTCCTTGGTCACCAGAGACGGGCGATGTAGAGCGAGGCGCGCACGAGAGCATGCAGGAAAACATTCATTAGCATCGCGAGATATTGATTACTGACTGACTTTGTTGTCTATTGAGTTGAGCTAATTTGATTTACCTACCTATGTTGTTTTTGCTTGCCTATTTAGGGGGCGTCCATTACGTGAAACAATTATTTTGACATTGACATTAACAATTATTTAAAAAATAAATGTTTATTGACAATAGATAAATATAATTATCTAAATAAATATTGTAAAAGACGAATAGCGAATTCGCTATCATATTTTATTAAATATTTAGCCATTAATTTGGCTAGCCAAACTGCTTTTATTGAGCAGACCATGGATGTTCGACCCTTGGAATCTGTTCCAAATCATAATTTAAATTACATCGTAAGACAATAGAGGATAACTCTGGCATACAAAATTCGGATACAAAGAAATTTAACGGTTTTAATTTAGTAAAATTACCTATCGATAGCTTACTTTATTCTGATGAATAAATGTCATTACAAGTTTTTCTCTAAAACTGATAATTTGGCTAGAAAAAAATATTTTCTATCCACGTAGTACGCCGGCAGCGTTCGGATCGGATATAATGACGTCATCGTCCCCGCGCCGGGCGGTCAGTGAACTTTTTTAGTAATTTGGCCATAACTTCGTCAATTTTTGTCGTAGAACAAAAATTTTTGCACTGTGTATTAAGGATTTCTTAGCCCTATAAATCTGCATTCACAGCTAAAAATCGAAATGATCCTCATTGCCAATAAACAAATTTAAGATACATATAAAAAATACTCTTATGTCCAAAGGGTACTACAAGGTTCGAGACTATATTGATGACAAGGATGCGTGGTCAGTTCAGTCTGCACATATTTGATGTACTTAAATTTGACTATTCTTACCGTTAGATAATTCCTGGCAATAAGTGGTGACTGAGTTTGTTCCGGCGTTTCTTCTCAGCACTTGCCATATGTTTGTCTCGAAGCGCTGGTAGGGCCCAAAAGATAAGGAGACATGTAAAGTGCCCCATAAGGGCTACCTTTTTCTTTTTTTATTATTTTCTATTGACGTTCATAAGTGCCACGTGGTCTAAACTGAATAAATATTTTTGATTTTGATTTTTTTTGATTTTTGATTTTGATTTTGACAATTTTTCAACCCTCCCGCCCCCCTTGGTGAGATTTGGTGAGATTTTTCCAGACCCCTCCCCCTTCCCACAATCTCACGTGAGATTTTATAAAATACATATTTTCAATGTAAAAGGATGTAATATAAAAAAACGTTTCTTCTAATTTATTTATTGTTTAGACGGTGTACAATAAAAAAAT